TAATATAATTATCAATATTATTAGATTTAAATTTACATTTTTACCATTATTTTATAAATGTGTCATATATTCTTTGTTCTTTTTATCCCTCTGCTTTATGCCTTCATTTTGGGTAAAATGAGTATTTTCCTTATTCAATTTTATCATCATCATTAGCTTATTAACTTTAGTTTTTTGGGTTGCTTAGTGTTTTCTATACAATTTTCAATGTACATTTTAACTTCTCACAATCTAACTTGCAAAAATATCACTTCAATAGCAGATGCTGAATCATATACAGTGTTGTAAACCAGTCACCTCAATAAAAAATTAATTAAATTAAATTAAAAAATATAAGAATCACATAAATTTACTTCCACTAATTCCTTGTGTCATTGTTTTCATACATTTTACTCCTAATGATGACATAAATTTCACAATACAGTGGTAATATTTTTGCTTTAGACATGCAATTATGTTTTAAAATTTTAGAGTATTATTCAATATTACAGATCTAAACATTCATTTTGTATATTATTCCCTACTTCTGAAAGAAAAAATTCACTGTCAATTAATTTTATCATTTTGCTGATTAAGTCTCTATTTTACCTTCATTTTTTAAAAATCTACTTTTTGGTAGAAAGTTACAAGTCAAGATAATTTTCTTATTCTTTAGTCTATTAAAGAGCTTGCTGTCTTACCTCTGGTCTTCAGTATATGATTTTTCCTTCCTGTCCCCCCAGATGTTCTCAAGATTTTCTCTTCAGATTTTGTTTTTTTTTTTTTTTTATTAAATAATAAATTTTATTTTTATATATTCCCCCATACAACTGCACATGCCCCATTCTGACCCCAATCCCTCCCCTCCCGGCCCCCACCCCCCAAAAAGTGTCTCTGGTTCATAGTTTTTTGTTGATTTTGATTTTCACTTTCTTATAGTTATTCATTTTCCTGATCCCTTATTTAAGTTTTCTAGATTCCTGCTATGAGTGAGACCATCCGGTATTTTTCTTTTTCTTTTTGGCTTATTTCGCTGAGCATGATCCCTTCCAGCGCCATCCATGTTGCTGCAAATTGCATGTGTTTATCTTTTTTGAATGCTGAGTAATATTCCATGGTATATATGTACCACATCTTCTTGATCCAGTCATCTATTTTTGGGCATTTGGGCTGTTTCCAAAGCTTAGCTATTGTAAATAGTGCTGCTATAAACATAGGGGTGCAGGTGTTCTTTGGAATTGATGTTTCTGTGTCCTTTGGGTAAATACCTAGGAGTGGAATTGCTGGATCATATGGAAGCTCTATGTTTAGTAGGTCCAGAAATCTCCATACAGCTTTCCACAGTGGTTGGACCAGTTTGTATTCCCACCAACAGTGCAGGAGAGTTCCTTTTTCTCCACACCCTCGCCAACATTTGTTGTTGCTAGTTTTTTTAATATGTGCCATTCTCACTGGTGTAAGATGGTATCTCATGGTAGTTTTGATTTGCATTTCCCTGATGACAAGTGATGTTGAACATTTTTTCATATGTCTGTTGGTCATTTGCATTTCCTCTTCAGAGAAGTTTCTTTTTAGCTCTTCTGCCCATTTTTTGACTGGGTTATTTTCTTTGTTGTTGTTGAGTTTCATCAGCTCTTTGCAGATTTTTGTGATCAGTCCTTTATCATTAGTGTTGGGTGCAAAAATGTTCTCCCAGTTGGTGGGGTTTCTCTTTGTTTTTGTTATTGTCTCTTTTGCTGTGCAGAAGCTCTTTAATTTGATGTAGTCCCAGCTGTTTATCTTTGCCTTCACTATCACTGCTTTGGGTGATGTGTCTGTAAAGATGTCTTTGATATGCAAATCACGTAGTGTTTCACCTATATTTCCTTCTATGTATTTTATGGTTTCAGGTCTTATGTCTAGTTCTTTAATCCATTTTGAGTTGATTTTTGTGTATGGTGTGAGGTAGTGGTCAAGCTTCATTCTTTTGCATGTAGCAACCCAGTTTTCCCAGCACCATTTATTGAACAAACTTTCTTTGCTCCAATGCATAGTCTTTGCTCCTTTGTCAAAGATTAGTTGACCATAAATCTGTGGGTTTATTTCTGGATTTTCTATTCGATTCCATTGGTCTGTATGTCTGTTCTTGTTCCTATTTGCAGATGATATGATAATATACATAGAGAACCCCAAAAACTCCACAGAAAAACTAATTCAACTTATCAATCAATTCAGTAAAGTGGCAGGATACAAAATCAACACGCAAAAGTCAGTAGCCTTCCTATACACAAACAATAAATCTGAAGAAGAAATAAAAAAAAAATCCCTTTTATTATCGAAACAAAAAAAATCAAATATTTGGGAATAAATCTAACAAAAGAGGTAAAGGACCTATACAAAGAAAATTGTAAAACACTGTTAAAAGAAATAGAAGAAGTCACAAAGAAATGGAAAGACATCCCCTGCTCATGGATTGGAAGAATAAACATTATTAAAATGGCCATCCTACCAAAAGCAATATACTGATTCAATGCTATTCCAATCAAAATTTCAATGTCATTCTTCAAAGAAATAGAACAATTATTGATGAAATTCATATGGAATCACCAAAAACCCCGAATAGCCAAAGCTCTCCTGAAAAAAAAAAGAAGGGAATGGAGGCATCACACTCCCAGACTTCAAACTATACTACAAAGCCATAATCTTCAGATTTTGTTTTGGAAGTAAGTTTGCTATGACTTACTGGTGCTTTTTATTAAAATATTGTGCTTAAAATTTTATGATGTGAATTTTTATTTATTCTCTTTCATTCCTTTTGGAATTTTTTTTTCTTTTTCCTTTCCCCCTTTTTTGATGAGGACTTCCTTTTTATTGCCATAACATTGGTCTACAATGTTGTATATGATTTAGAGGCTTAGGATCTTCCCATTAAGGTGTTACCACACCACACCCACCACTGAAAATTTTAATCATATACACATTATTTTATATTGCCCCACATTTATTGGATACCCTATTGTCTAATTTTTGTTGTTGCCTCACTTTTTCTCTTTTTGCTTCAACTTTGATACTTCTACTGATCTAAATTAAAGTTCACTAATTATTTTCACTCTATCCAGACTGCTGGTAAGCCTATCACATGAATTTTTCTTCCTTGTTAGCATATTGTAACTTCTCATTTGTACAAGCATGTGTTCATCATTTCCATGACACTCTTTAACATGCATATGCCTTAACATATTTAGCATAGCTATTTCAATTCTTATGTTTCATGATATTGGTCACATCTTGCTTTGATTCTATTAACTGTTATTATCTCCTGCAAATGGGTTATTTACTGTTGTTGATATATTTGTATTGTATAATATTTCATTTAATTCAGATATCGAATATAAAAGAAGTAATGAGGTAAATTTGCAAAAGAAAAATGGGCACAGTTCTGTCATTAGTGTGAAGATTTGGTCAGCCTAAGCAGTAGTTTAACTCATTTGGATATGGTTTCTGTTTTAATTATCTTTAGCTCATCATCAACTTTAAATTCTTTCAGTAGTAGACTGCAATTACCTTGTATTTAGTGTGAGATATAAATTTTTGAAGGATTTTTATCAGTATTCTTTTCCACACTCATCTTTTAGCAAACTTTGTTTGCCTATGCCAAAGAAGTGATCTCTCTCCAGTTTCTTTTCCCTGCCCCAGAAATAGGCTTTCTGCTCTAATTTTTTACCAAAAAATTCTCTTCTCATCATGAAAGCCAAAATCTGCCTCAAGATACTCTGTGGAGTTTCTTATATAAAATTTAGTCTCTTGGTCCTATTCTGTATGTTATTAATGCAAGATCCTGCTCTCAATTAAGTTTCTGTAGTTGTAGACAACTTTTTTCTTCTATCCCACTCTACTAGCAGCCACACTTTGCCTGTATCAGGGCTGAAAGGCTATGGAGATTTGACTAACCCTCTCCCAGTGGCAGACACCTATTTTTTCATGTCAGAAAAGATTAAGAGGGCCTCCCCTGGTGGCGCAGGTGGTTGAGTACCATGCTGTGAAGCTGTCCACAGCCTCTGCAGTGACGGTTCGATCCCGGCCGGCTGGTGAGGGTCACACATGGCACGGCAGACCTCTCTTGTCATGCCCGCTGCTCCCCTCAGCAGTGTATTTCATCAGTCTGTCTGTTCCGTTCCCCGCTCTGTCTCTGGTGAATCCTCTCACCCTCCCGCACATCTGGCCTGTGCCCCAGTTCTTGTGTAAAATAAATAAATATTTAAAAAAAAAAAGATTAAGAGCACAGCTGGACATTGCACCTTTCCCTCAGTAGTAGCCAATCAACATTCACATGTCTACACCAAAAATTTCTCTCAGATCCCCTACATTGTCTCCAATTCTATTCATGAGTAGCAAGTTAGGGTTTGTGCACTAGCGTTAGTAAGTGCTTGCAGACTCTCCTTTGTATAGCACTTTCAAGGTTTCTAAACTGTTATGATAGCCCATATGTAACTTTTAAGAACTTGTAAAATTTTAGCTTGTATTAGTGAGCATTCTGCAGAGAAACATAACCAATAGGATGTGTGCATATGTATGTAAGCTATTATCTCATGTAATTATGGAAGCTAAGAAGTCCATATCAAGAAAAAAAAATGGTGCTCTTCCAGTCTATACTGGAGTCTGAAGACTTAAGAAGTAGGAGAGTTAATAAGTCATAATCCAAATTTGAGACTAAAGGCAGGAAGAAGACTGTGATATCCCAGCTCGAAAACAGTCAAGCAAAGAGAAATAAATTTTCTCACTTAGCCTTTTATTCTATTTTATTCTATTTATTTTATTGAATGAGGCCCACCTACATCAGCAACAGCAATCTGTTTTACTCAGTATAACAATTCCAATTTTAATCTCTATCCAGAAACATTCTTGTAGAAATTTCCAATGATAATGCTAATAATTAGAAAACCCAATTATAATAGATAACATTTAACCAAATATCTGGTAATCTCAAGGTTTTGTAAAGTTTACACATAAAATTAATCATCACACACTTGCTTTCTTCTTACCTGATTTTAGGGCTGCCTCCTCTTTTATTGTGCTCTACCAAATGCAGATCTGTGTAGCCTTCCTCTCCTTGGAGGACCTTGTCATCCTTTGGAATTCAGTGTTCCTAGTTATTTTGCCACCTCAATTCTCTGTTGAGTACAAATAAATTATGATTTTGTAGATTATCCTATATTTTTGTTGTTAAAGTAGGAGTGATCTATATTCAAAGTAGAAGCAGCTTTCCCAAATATTCCTAATTCTCAGCATAAATTCTATTTAGTAAGTGCCTATCTGTTTATTTTTTTATGAGTGGAATAATGTGTAGTTATGCAATACCTCTATTCTTAAGAATTTCTAGAATGAGTATGAACAAAGATAGTAATTTAGTGAGTATAAATAAATAATAATTAAGTTAAGATACATTATAACATACAAAAATAATTCTGCTGAGTCAAATTTTGCTCTGAGCAGTCATATGTTGCTCAGTATTAAAAACGGTCACACCATTAGCTTGATTCCTCAGCTTGGGGCATTCTTTCACCTCTAGATGCTTCACATGCAAAGTTTTGTAATAGCATTCTTGGTTTTATATCTGTTGTGTTTGTAAGGATAAAGTTAAAATTCTTTATTTATTTAATAATCATTCCAGACTCCCTAAATATCATTCTTAAATTCTCATAAGCTAGAATCATGCTTAACATCTTCTTGTATTAAAGAGTATCAGAAAATTAGAGTATTAGAACGGAGAGTTAAAATGTGATAACCTTAAATGAGTGGTAAAAATGTGCCTTGTTTCCTTTACTGGATAAAAGCATGGAAATAGGCAGGTAGTTTGACCGGATTGACTAGATTTTATATTTAAGTTTCCTCATTGCAAATGTATCAAAAAATGGAACCATTTCCCACATAAATATCATTAACATATTGCTATCCATGAATTTAGGAAAATAGCAATTGATTGTTTTTAATAGATGTAGATATGTAAAAACTTATTACCTTTAATTTTTCTTTTTTTTTCTTATTATAAAAATATGTTTTTTTAAAGTTCAGAATGTAAACATTATCTGGCAACAGAAAAGTTCAAAGGCTTTTGGCACAATGCTTATAAATGTATTATGAACAAAATGATCTTACTTTTACCTTCTTTTGCAAATTCAAGGATAATGATAAAGGCAGAGAGGGTGACAAAAGTCAAACCACTAGTGGTAGCAGCTCTTCAGTTGCTAAACCAAAGAATTTATAAATTAACACAGCAAAAAGAACTCACTGTAGTCCTAATAGGTAGCTAAGTCATTAACAGATAATAAATGTTTATTGCTGTCTTTCAGATTTATATAGGTAAACAGATAATCACTCAAGCTCCCTTCTAATATGTTGGGAAAAAATAAATGAAGACTGTATTATTTGAGCCTCTTATTTGCTCAACTAATACCTCGTTTTCCATTTCTGCTACAAAATTTAAAAATGTGTCTTAAAAAGAAAATACAGAAAAACATACCTGAGGTAAGGAATAATAATTTTTTCTAAACCTATGTGAATCTCAACAGATATAAACCATGCAATATTCACCCAAAATGTGGAGAATTTCATGAAACAATTCAGAATACCATCATATTCTCTTTAATATATGAAGTTTGTTTCCCAAAAAATCACCATCTGAAAAAAGGAGCCCAATTACACTGTTGCTGGGAATGTAGTCCAGTTCACTCCCTATGGAGAGTGGGGTGGGGGTTTCTCAAAAGACTAAACATGATCCAGCAATTCCACATCTAGGTATCTAGCTGAAGGATATAAAAACACAAATTTGAAAGGAAGCTTGCAGTAACATGTTTATTGCAGCACTACTTACAAAAGACAAGCTATGGCAACAATCTAACTGCCCCAAAACATGAGTATCAGAAGATGTATATATACACAATGGAATATTACTCATCAATCAAAAAATAAAAATAAACTCATGCAATTTGCAGTGACATGGATGGAGTTGAAAGGGATAATACTAAGTGAAAAGAGTCAGAAGGAGAAAAATAAGTATCAGGTGACTAATACATGGAATATATATAAACCAAACTATGAATCAGAGAAAAACAAATTTAAAAACTGCCTCTTGAACAGTAACTATAGAATTGAAACATCCGGGGGTAATGTGAGGGGTAAGATCAAAGAGAGAAGGAAGCACAAAATGGACAATGGTAGTGGACTATGGGTGGTAGGTACCCTAAGTAGCAATACCTGATGGGGAGGAGCATAATATTACCTTAGTTAAGAGAATAAATTAAAAGAAATAAAGTACTGACCAAAAAAATTGCTTCTCCATGCTCCCATCTCCAGGATGTATGGATGGATAGATATAGATAAATACATAAATAGAGATAAAGATATAGCAAGGATAGCATGAGTGTGAAAATTACTACAATTTTGATGCCCTGGAATTTTCTGGAATCTCATTGAAGATGAAACTGTTATATAAAATTATATTTTATATAACTACTTAAGTCTTCTGAGAATTATTCACTAAGGAATAACGGTATCAAGGAAATTTTGTGGGCAGGGGCCAATTTCCACTTGCTTTCCTCCCAATGTTTTCCCTGTTACAACAGTAGAAAGATGTCAGTGCAGTTGGTACTCCCTAACTAGAAATTTTCCACTCTTTCTATGCAGTTCAACAGACTTAGAATAGAACAAACATAATGGTTAAAGAACCCACAATTCTTTGCTACTTGTCTTGTTATTTTTGAAAATATGATATATGATGATTGTCCCCTGAATTTCAATTTTCTGAAGACAACATGACAAATTTATTTAAACTATTCTGATGGAGAAAGCTAATTAAGTAAACTAGTTCAGCAACTGATCACGTTTCACTAATTTCAACCATCTGCCTCAACATTTGTTCCCATGTGTACCAGGTTTCCTGGTTTCTTTCCTCTAATAGCAATTAATGAAACTGTTAATAAGCTACATATATCATACTATGGCATAACAATTTACCAAAGGATAACATTATGAGACAAATTATATTTAACAATTGTAGAAAAATGACTCTGATTATCAAATGTTGTACAACATCAACTAGTTTTCATTTTGACTCATGCTTCTCAATTAATTCTCAGATTAATTTAGCACACATGTATAATTTGTAATTTTAAACTCTTGGTCAGATTTGCCATCTATTTTTTATGCTAACTGCTTATATGAGACACATCAATGAAACACAACCTCTTTGCAAATTACTGATTTCATTTCATTTTCATTCACATTCTGAAGTTCACTGTACTTTTTCATAGGAATGTTTTTCAATTATTATGGAAGTCAGATAGAGGCAAACTGTTCTATTACCCAGTTTTTATAGTATAGTCAAGGAATGGTACATACACAAATACATATATAATAATATATAGCGATTTTAATTTTTTAATGGGATTAATTTGTAAACGCCTTGAGCAAAATAGTGCACAAAAAATAAAAATAATAATTGGCTTTGAAAAAATGAGTTCTATCAAACTAATTTAATCTATGAGAGCATGATGGGTCTGGCAATACTCATACAATGAAACACAAAAATTGCAAAATATCATTTAACGTTCCCAAGGAGTTGTGTTTAATTTTTATGGCAATATAGAACAAGTAAGATATGTTAAGATGTCTTTAATATGTTTTCACAAAACAAATTAAATGCTAAAAGCCTACTTAGCCTCTACTGTAATCCAAATATACAAGTATGCAAATGTATTCACTCATATTCCGTGTCATACTCTTCTCTAGCATGATCACCAACTTCTGCTCCATTACCACAATTAGAATACTGTGAGAGGGCCTCCCCTTATGTCGCAGTGGTTGAGTGCTGGGCTGCGAGGCTGCCAACAGCCTCTGCAGCGCTGGTTTGATCCCCAGCCGCCAGCGAGTGTCCCACATGGCATGCAGACCTCTCCTGCCGCCCGCTGCTCCCCTCAGCAGTGTATTTCGTCAGTCTGCCTGTTCTGTTCCCCACTCTGGCTCTGGTGAATCCTCTCACCCTCCCGCGCTTCTGACTGTACCCAGTGCTTGTATGAATAAATAAATAAATCTTAAAAAAAAAAAAGGAAGAATTAAAAAAAAAAAAAGAATACTGTGAGAGAGGGGGAAATCCTAGGTATCATGACATTCCAGGGCATCTTACAAAACTGCATAATGTTGTTTGGCTAACACAGACCTAAGCCAGAAATTTTGAATTTTCTTGCCAATTTGTAGTGAATGATATGAACAAGGGAAATATATATATATATATATACATATATATAATAGTACAAATATAAAATGGTTCCACATATATTGAGTAAAAAGGCAATAGGGAGTCTTAATCATCAAACAGGTACATTTACAGTATTATTCTCATCCTTCACTAATTTATGTATACTTATGACTCACTTCTATCAATACTGGATGTAACTGAAGTACTGCTGGAATATACTTATCAAAAGTTTGTTTATAAGAAGAATATAGGAGTCTTTTGTTGAGGAGCTCATTCTAAATAAGGAGAGAGAAAGAACACAGAAGCACAGCACTGGAGAGGAAGACTGAACAGGAAATTCACCAGTAAGGTTCTATCTAGCACAGTTACATGAACGTAGTTTTTAAAATCTCACTTACTCTATAAGGAGGTGGAAGTCTAAAGAATTTAGGTAACATCATAAAAGTTGAAGAATAACCATGAAGTTATATAGCAGTTTGACTAGAGACATAACTAGCATCGTCTGTACCCAGCTCAACTATTCTTATTCTTTAATTCTTCCCTGCTCCTCAGTCAACTGCAGATTTTTTTGTAATTATTTTGCCCTTTTTTAATGAAATATTTTTTTTAAATCATTCTTACATCATGATTTCTCCCCTCAGATGTGGTCACTGTAGTTCTCACATCACCAAAATACCCAACTTGCAGATTTTATTTGTCCTTCTCTGCCCCCCAAAATTTAAAACCAAATGATGAAGAACAACTATGCATACATCTCATGAAAAAACTTTTTCTTTCATTTTGCATATCATCATTTCTAAGGATAAATAAATACATATTGATACACTTGCATTTGGCATAAGAGATGAAGGATTATAGACAGAATTTAAATGAATTTGAGAAAATTAAAAAAATAATTCAAAATGTAAGCTAGATTAT